AGAAACTTACAGATCATACAGATTAACAGAGTTGGAATGGACCTTGTAGTCATATAGTCCAACCCTCCGCCCAAGCAGGAGACCCTACACCATTTCTGACAAATGGCAATCCAATCTCTTCATGAAAGCCTCCAGTGATGAAGGTCCCACAACTTCTGAAGGCAAGCAATTCCATTGGTTGATTGTTCTCACTGTCAAAAAAATTCTCCCTATTTCCAGGTTGAATCTCTCCTTGTTCTTGACAGAATTAGGCCAGGGAAGGAGTTTTAAAAATGTTAAACAGAGCAGGAGTTTCTTGTCAGAATTCTTATGTCTTTTTAAATACACGTTCTAATAGTTCTAATTAGCAGAGTTGATTTTATTAATTTGGAATAGGGTTGCAATGCTGTTTCTATGTTTATGTATTTTGATCCTGCATTTTCAGCATTTAAGAATATTGCGATATTAGACTGAAGATTTAAATTATCTTGTAACTGTGCTTCTTGTGTGTGATGGAGCACCCACAACTTCTGAAGGCAAGCTATTTCATCGATTGATTGGTCTCACCCTCAGGAAGTTTCTTCTTAGCCCTAGGTTGCTTATCTCTTTGGTTAGATTTCCATCCATTTTTCTTGTCATGTCTTTTGGTGCTATGGAAAATAGAATGACCCTCTCACTTTTGTAGGGGCCCCTCAAATTTCCTGACAGAACAATTAATCAGTGGAACAACTTGTCTCCTGAAGTTATAAATGCTCCAACACTGGAAGTTTTAAAGAAGAGATTGGATAACCATTATCTGAAATGGTGTAGGGTTTCCTGCCTAAGTAGGTGGTTGGACTAAAAGACCTCCAAGGTCCCTTCCAACTCTGTCATTCTAGTCTAGTCTAGTCTAAATATTTGAACAATGCTATCTTATTGTGAATTGAACTAAGGAGAAATTTCCTAAGGATGAGACCAATTAAGTTGGCCACCCCACCCAGTCACAGAGCCATCTAGCTGGTCATTACGGCAGAGAACCGGTTGTTAAATTATTTAAATCCCACCACTGGAGAGACCCAATTCATATATACTGTTTACTTTGGTATACTTTACTGGGTTGTTATGAAAACAAAACGGAATGATTCTCCATACCAACCTTTCTTGAAAAAGTGCCCACTATCACCATTCTGTAGCCCTCTAGTCTTTCATCAAAATTCTAACTAGGTCTGACTCTGCTTGACATTTTGCAAAACCAGACAAGGTCAGTCAAACACCAGCACTATCTTTGACAATTATTTGTAACAGAACAATAGCTCTATAAAATCATAAATATAATCCAAAAACATGAGAAGTATTGCACAAACTATTCAATCTTCCTCAGTTTATGGTCCTCCTGGTGCTTTGGATAACTACTCCTTTTGTCATTTATCATGAATTGTGTTCTAACATTTAACCAACTAGGGGTCATATTATGAAAAACAATGTATATCAGCTATGAAATTCTTAAAATCTGTTAATTTTACTATTATTTAAGCTAACATCCTTTGAATATTTATGTATAAATAAATTCCACTGAAGGACTCTCACTTAAAGAAAAATGAAAATTAAAAATTAAAAATCAAGAACAAAAATGGAATTTTGTTTTTTAATCACAGTAATTCATATTGCATATATTCCACTGGCATTCTCATCTACTGAAATAGATTCTTTTTATAAGTTTCAATAGTCATGAATAATTATGTAACAATAACTCATAATTCAATTAAAATTGAATCCATAAACATGGTAGCTCTTCAATCTTACCACAAGAAAGAGTACAATATTTAAAACAAAAATGAGGCTAAATCAAGGATAAAATTCATGCATTGAGTTGCCATTGAAACAATTAGCAATGTCTCAAGGCCCATAACAAAGTCAATTCCAGTAGTTTAGCTAGCCACGAGCAGTTCCATTGAAGATGGCAGCTTTCCCGCCAGAAACATAAAAAATTACATGCCATGTGTTGTATAAGAGAAAAAATTTAGTGCTAAGTGTGTATGATTCAAATTGTAAGTTATACATATTTAAATTATTCAGCAAATATTTGGTAATATATTCATTCAAGCTTTGGCACATTTCCTACATTTTGACAAAGTGGATAGAATAAACTTGCTGCTGAATTTCAGTGATAAAAATGTGTTTCCCAGAGCCAATGCAATGCACAGAGGGCTGATCTAGCACAAACTCCTATCCGCCCATCCACTCAATTATGAAATTTCTATTTTTCAGCCTGATCTAACGTTCAGGAATTTTATAAGGATAATACTGAAAGTAGAATAAGAGAAATCAGGGCATTATTCTAAATTCTGGCAAAGAAGACCTGCATAAACACAACAAATGATTTTGCTTTAGTTTTTTTTTTTGCCCTCTATGTCAATAACTTTCTAAGCTGAATAGTACTGCGCCATTTTAATTTGGCAGATCCCTTTTAAAAGCTTCTTGATTTTGGACTAACATTTGTTGACATCTCTCTTCTGCTCTCTCTAAAACTGGAAGACAAGAACTTTTAGGTAGCTTAGTAAATAAAGACACCCAGCTCTTTTCTTTGTACTATGAATAGGAACAAATGACCCCCTACAAGGATTATTTACAACTTCATTTTGTCTCTCACATTCACCATTCTGAAAGACATCAACTTTGTTCCCTGCAGTGCTCCACTAAGAGCCACTAGCCAAATCAAACTATCACAGTCTGTAAACATTTCTTGCATCCCACTGCGATTTCCAAAATTACATTTTCTATGTTCCCTATAAACAGAAAAGCGGAGGATTTTCGGTTCATCTCAGAAAAGGTTCTTTTCTCATGTCCTAGAATGTGGTCTGTTAATTGCTTTACCAGGAGCAAACTTGGGTCATCCTTTGAGAATGAAGTTGTTATAAAACAGCTATGTTGACAGATGGTATAAGTGGCATCACTAATCAAATCTGCCATGGTGTTTTCATGGCAATGGGGAATTATCACTGTGCCAGTAAATGGAAAGGCTTATTAAATGTTCTGTTCTAAGTAGAAAATGCATTGTAATGATAGCTTGTGGAGTCATAAATTGGAGACGCAAGAATGAGTATATGCTCCGTGACTGATGGGTCTGTGACATACGCCTTGGAAACATTTTGCATATACCTTCATTTGGATACCTTCAAAGCCATCTTGCTTCTCTAAACAGCATTTCAATAAGCTATTTAGGCCCACCAGTGCATAAACAGTGAATGTTGAACAAGCAGGTTCCCTAAAATCATTCATTTCCTTGGGGTCATCTACTTTAACTTATTCTTGCATTTTTTTTTCTCTTCTGCTCAGGCAGTTGAGCTAAGCAGTTAATAAATAAATACTTCGGTAGGGGCTTCAGTTTTTGTAGATAGAACAGGAGAAAAGAGTAAATAAAAATCCATTTTTAATATTGCAAAATTAGTCTAGTGTCTTTTATGTCATCAACATGTTTAACTTCCTTTATGTGCATTTTCTGAATTACAGAATGAATCCAAGCTTTTCTGATAGGCCTTGAAAGCTGAGCAAATCAATAGCTGAATATTCAAGCCACAGTTTATTTTTCCATGTGTACCATTGACCTTTTTGTATCAATACCAGATAGCTCCCTGCCAAGCTTATTATATACTTAGTCTCTGGGGGTAGCCTTCTGAATAGACAAAGTGTGTGGTATGGACAAAGGAGACAGAACTTACTCCAATTAAGATGTCAAAGATGTGGACCAGCTTCTGAAAGATGCCAGTCTATTCAATGGGAATGTGCAATTTGCATCTGCTAGTCTAAAACTGTTTAAATTATGCTTTTAAACTCAATGTACGTATACACACACTCACACACATACACATCCTATTGCTATTTATTTGTCATTTTTCTCATGCAAGTTCTAAATTTTGCTTTTTAAAGGGATAGTCTATTCAGTTGGAATCAAGCTTTCCTCAAAATTATTTGCGATCAAGAAAATAAATACTTTTAAACATTAAAAAATCCCAGCTATAATCCCAGCTCTTGTTTTAAAATTCTGATGGTTTAATCTTTATTATTGGAAGTTGGAAATATATTAAGCTTGATTTACTGAATGTAACAATATAAATTGATTCATAGTGCCACTCTATGATATCAAGTTCATTATGGCAATTCCTATTTTATTTATTAGATTTATACTCAACTGTTCCTCAAAGAGCTTGAAAAGACATGCTTTTCTCCCACTCCTTACCCCACTTTGTCCTATAGCAACAAACATATGGGGTAATTTGTCAGAGAGACACAATGACTGGCCCAAAGCTATCCAGCATCCATGACTTAAGGGTATATTTGAACCTGGATCTGCTTGGTTCTAATCCAACATTTTAACCTCTCTGTCATACTGTACTGATATGAAGAATAATTGTACCAGCTGTCTTTAAAATACATTCATTCCACATCATAAATTGTATTTTGCAAAAAGTAGCTTCATTAATTTTAGTTAATTGGGACAAATTACAAGCAATGAAAAATGAAACTTAAAGCAAAGAATTTTCTCCAAGTTGCCTTTGAGAGTCTTTGGAATGAGTTCAACACCTGCCATATCTTTTGCAGACAGTTATGGATGCCTTGGTGTACTTTTATCATCTACAATAATGAAAAGAAAGCTATAATGTACTTGGTGAATTATGGGAGGGGGATGCTATATTTTAAATGTAGAAAATGAAGAAAAAATCTGAAGAGAATAAATTAAATTATTTTAAATCCACAGACTGGGGATCGATCCTTAATTTACTACAAAGTACAATGAAGTTATTAACTATGCAGAGCAAAAAGCAATGACATTCCAAATTGTCTAATCATATAAATTAATTCTTGCAGGAAACACTAATCATTTTTAGTCAAAAATAATTTCAAATGAACTGAATAGCCTCTTAATCATACAGATTTAGCTGCAAAGAAGTGAAGTTGCTTTCTCTCCATTTTCTTCCTCTTTACCCATCTAGTCCATGTTTCACTGCCATCTGATTGATTTTAATCTCTTTTTATTTTTTAAGGTGTTCCAGTGGCTTTGATCGTCATCGTCAAGACTGGGTGGATAGTGGTTGCCCTGAAGAGGTGATATTCAGATATCCTATATTTATATTATGAATAGTTGATTCTTAAAAAGAAGAGGGTATCTTGACTACAGAGCTGTTACAGGAATAAAGCCTCTCTGAACAGTATTTAAAGGCAGTTTCTAGATTTATCCTTCTCCCTTAGAAAATTACTGTTGGCAGATGAACATCTGTTCTGTCACTTACCTCATGAGCATCTATGTTGAATCCAAATGTACTTCTCTGTGTCCTAACCAATATTTTGAATATGAAAAACTAAATCCAGAATTACCATCCCACACTAAAATAAGTTTTTCTTTAGCTTGGACATTGTATGATGGAAGGAAATTACAATTATTGGAGATATTTACTGTTGTTTTTTTCTATTAAAAATAGCATTGATATATACCATTATTTTATTTATTAGTTTGCTTTGATGTCAGTATTGAAAAAGATGTTGAAGAACCCAGAAGTTCATTTGATGGGAAAACCTTAACTTGATTTTTTGTATAAGTGAAGTTTTTCAAAGATGAGTGAACTGAATTTTAACCCTGGAATATGTATATATGTATGTAATGTGTGTGTGTGTGTGTGTGTGTGTGTGTGTGTGTGTGTGTGTATGTATGTATGTATGTATGTATGTAAGTAATTCATATGGCCACTTGTTTCATGCTCATGTCTGTACATGGATACCAATAATTAAATACAGCCTAAAGCAAAAAAGGAAACAACAGCATACAATACACATAATCTGCAACCAATATAAAAATCTGCAGCACAAATCACAGCAACCATTGCAAGGCTCAGACACCAAGATTCCTAGGCTCTATGACAAAACCATGTCTTTAAGGTCTTGCAAAAAGAGGACCAATTTAACCTCGGAGCCAAACCTCAGTTTGGGAGAAAAAAGTACTAGAATAAACTATTTCATTCCAAATTCTTCTTTCGATGCTTTTTTTTTTAAGTTTTATTTTTACATGTTTACAACAAATAACCACATGTATATTATTACATAACCAAAATTATATTGTTAAATGTTTACATCGATTCGTCTTACCATCAACCCCCAAAAACGATTATTGGCTCTTCTGCTCTCCATGCACCGCATTTATACCCTATCCATCTCTTTCTTCTCCCTCTCTCCTCCTCTTCCCCATCTCCTTTCTTCCCTCTGTCGTCTTTCTCTTCTCTATTTCTCCTTCCTCTCTCCTTCCCCTCTCTCCCCTTTCCACTTCTTCTTTCTCTCCTTTTCCCCCCTCTGCCCTCTCTCCTATCCCTCTCTTCTTCCCTTACCTCTATCCTCTATTCCACACTCTTCATTTCATTTACTTGGTGTATTTCAGCCTCTGAGCGAGCTCCATTTTATATTGATAGTATTTATATTTAAATATACATCTCTAATTTTAACATATATCCTCCTCCTTTTTTGAAAGAAAAACGAAAACTATACATATATAGTAATTATATTTTTAAGCCCATTTCTTCCAGCCTATTTTTGGCTGGGATGTAGATCTGGTTACCATTCCCAGCTATTCTTATCATTATATTTATATCATTACATGCCCCAAATTTGTAGTTCTGTGTCTATAATCTCAATAATTTCCCACTATATTTCACGTTCCCTTCCATTTTTTCATATCTTGACATAGTTTACCCTTAATTGTCTTTAAATAACAATCCTTGCTGTTCAATGTTCATTGCAATTCCATTAATCTACTATGTAGAGTAACAAGCGGTCCACACCTCACTTTGTTCATCATATTAAGAGTTCTGTATGTGTTCATATTTCATATGTTTTAACCTATACTTAATTATCCTTCCATTGTCATATTCAGTCAATTAACAACTCAGTTTAATTATCATGTATAAAAGTGAATCACATACCTCTACTTTTATTCTTCACATAACAGTTTCATATTTGTCCATATTCCATATATTTTAACCTTTATTTAATTATATTTCCATTATCATATTCAATCAGTTAGCAACTCAGTTTAATTATCATACATAGGAGTAAACCACATATCTCAGCTTTATATTTCCCATATAACAATTTCTAATTATCAGATTTTTTCTAGTAAGTCTTTTCTCTCACTTCTCCCTATTCCTGCCTTCTCCCTTTTCTTTGTTTTGACATGTCCACCCTCTTCAGTTTTCCCTATGCCACTGTCAAACTCAGTGAAATCTTTTATCTCCCTTTTATTTTCTTTTGTTGGGACACATCCACCCTTTTCAATTTTCCCTATACCATTTTCAAACCCAATGAAGTTTTTTTGTCTGTTTTTAATTTTCCACAGTTTCTACCACTTTCTTATCCCCCCTCTTCTTCCTTCACTTCCTCAATATCTAGCTTCAAAACTCTATTTAGACTTGATTTTAATGATTTATAAGAGCCGAGGTGGCGCAGTGGTTGGGGTGCAGTACTGCAGGCCACTTCAGCTGACTGTTATCTGCAGTTCAGTGGTTCTAATCTCACTGGCTCAAGGTTGACTCAGCCTTCCATCCTTCCGAGGTGGGTGAAATGAGGACCCAGACTGTGGGGGCAATATGCTGATTCTGTAAACCGCTTAGAGAGGGCTGAAAGCCCTATGAAGCAGTATACAAGTCTAACTGCTATTGCTATTTATGCATATTTTTTATAATTTCACATAGTTCTTCAAATTCACATCTTTCCATAATGTCCACTTCCAAAATTACAGTTAGTTATAAAGTTCTTATTTCAGAGTGCTGGTCCACCTTAAATTTAGCTAGTTCAACTAATGTGGAGAGGGAGCCATCTTGATCCTTTATTCTCCCTCCAGCCAAAAACTTCATATTTTCCTAGCTCTTGATTTTATTTTATTTTTTCCCCTTGTTACTTTCCACGTCTCATTGATTAGAGTTGCTTAAAATATATTAATTAGAATGAACTCAAACACGGTAAGTCTCCTTGGTATGTTTCTCTTTGCCTCCTGCTTTTTTCCAAATTCTGATTTATGCCAATTGGTTAATTAAAACTTCCAGGTCAAGGTTTCACATTCCATTCATTACACAGACAAGATTAAAAAATAATGCATTAATTAGAGTTGCTTAAGATATGTTGGTTAGCAAACAGTCTTTTCAAATCAAAATAAAAATTCCAAGCTTGTGTTTGAATGAGTTTGTCACTTCTCTGCTTTCTCCTTTCTATCTCCAAGTTTTCAAAGCAAGTAGTTCTTTTTGGGCTAATGATTTAACTCTCCATTTTTCCCTTCTTTCTTTCTTTTTGACAAAATCCCGATCTGTCCATCTATATTATTTATATTCTCAAGGTTCTTTGCCTTTTCCAAATTCTGATTTATGGGTTAATTAAATCTTCTTACCAGGTTTTTCATCCCGTCTCCTACACACTCCTGCTCAGGTGCTTTGGCCAGAAGCCAGCAGCTTCTTGTGCAGCCATGTTGCCATGCTGCCTCCCCCGACACCAATTCAGGAGGACAAATCTCCGACCTCAAGGGACGTGTTGCACTCCCTCTGGGTCTGATGAGACACTGCCCCTTCTTCACACCCTCCCCCTCCACAGGGAGGTTCTGATCCAAAAGGATCTCAACATTGGTTTTTCAGGCAGAGTTCATGTGAGGCTCTTTGGAGCCCACACCTCCCCCATCTGTCTTGCTGAGGAACTTCCGGTCGAATCCCTTCTTTCAAATAAATAAATCTTATAATGTTTAGAGCTTGAGCTTCTCTACCATTTATTGAGACTTTAATTCTCTTTTATCCAGAAAATATACTAACTTTGCAAAGTCTTAATTTAAAATTTCCATTTTGACATATTCTTGTGTTTGTATTAGATAACTGTAGTGCTCAGACAAATGACTTCCACTGATCACTAATTATTTCCTTTCTTCATATTATTTTTCTTATGCAGTCAAAACTTAAGATTTGTGAAAATACAGAGACAACTCAAATGCCTCTTCATATTACAACTGCACAACAGCAAACCACGATGAGATTCAGAGTTTTAACAACTACCAAAGGAACCATTACATCACACCTGCCAACTAGTCTACCCACGGAAGGTAAGAAACTAGAGTTGAATATGTTATCAGAAATGTTTAAAATTTGTAGTATGATTCTGTCACACGAAATTTACCTACTGGAAGAAATAGTACTTCAATAATGTGATTATATTATGATTACCAAAGACCAAGGCTGAAAACGCTCTACCTCTATAAACAAAATCTTTGTATAATTTATAATAAAAGTTTAATTCTAATCCTGTTTTAGATTGAAATTGACTTTCAGAATAATTAAGGTAGCATCAATGGGTAGCAATAAAGCTACTATAGAATACTTTCTTGGTTATTTAAACGTTGACTCAATATTTTAGAACCAGTGATTTGGAGTCATTGGGATCTTCTACATTGAAACTCTTATTTTTTGAAGTATTTTATCATCCTTAGTAATCAAAAATGCTATTGGAGATTATTAGCTTTCATGAAAAGATGAGTATTTTGCTATATATTTCCCAAATGTATTAAGTGCTGGTGTAAGAAAACTATGTAAATTACATGTGGTATGTACTGTTTTTGTCTTTATATTTCCCAAATGTATGAAGTGCTGATGTAATAGTACTGTGTCAGTTACAGGTACTGTGTAGTGTTTTCCTGACATGTTTAATATTAAATCAGTATCTTGTAGAAGTGTGCAATATTTAGAATGAAACACCTCTTTTGATAATGTGATGGTGATAATATTATTTACAACCTAGCTTTAGTAAACTGGCTAGAAGGATGTTTTTTTTAAAATAACCAACTTAAATAACATGCACAAATTAAAAGAATTAACATACAAAAAGTAGGCATCAAGAAGGAGCCTACAGAAATTTTGTATAAATATTCATGAATAGGGAAAAATACATGAAAGCACAGTAATGAAAATGTGAACTACTATAGAAAATGGATAGCATGAATTGGTACTTGAAAAACTGCATAATATTTTAAAAAATCATAGCAGATCTGTCATACAATTTCCATGATGTGCAAACTGTTGTGTACAATCTTGTCTATTGTTTTTTTTTTAATAAAATAAAGCTTATTTATTTGACCTGTACTAATTTAAATGTAACTTCTTGGCTTCAATTCAAGGATCAATAGTATATCCATGAGGTGGTAATTATTACAATATATTAACTATCTAGGGTTTTTTTCCTCTATCTCCATCTTTGGGAGAAGAGAATACAGGTAGTCCTCGACTTACAATCATTTGTTTACTGACTGTTCAAAGTTGTGATAGCACTGAAAAAAGTGACTTATGACCATGTTTCACACTTAACAGCTTTGTGGCATCCCCCATAGTCATGTGATCAAAATTTGGATACTTGACAATTGATGTGTGTTTATTGACGGTTACAGTGTCCTGGAGTCATGTGGTCACTTTTGCAACCTTCTGACAAGCAAAGTTTATGGGGAAGCCAGATTAATTTACCTGTATTACTAACTTAATACATACAGTGATTCACTTAACAACTCTGCAAGAAAAGTTATAAAATGGAGCAAAATGCACATAACAACTATCTGGCTTAGCAATGGAAATTTTGAGCCACAAGTTGAAGACTACCTGTATCGAATCATTTTAATTTTGAATTGTCAATGCTAATTTAATAAAATAGAAATTCTATTTTACTTGTTTGTTGCAAGACATTGTATAGTTATGATGTAATTGGTTATTGTAGAACATTTCAACAGCATTTCAGCTACATAGAAATCTTAAGCTTTTCAATCCTGCAAAGATAACAAATAGAAGTCTCTTAATGCAAAAGACTATTTTTGAGTGCAAGAACCTAAAAGAAAGGTTTAAGCACTGTCAATATAAGTTTTTGAGTTTTATTTCTATAGTACTAGATCTTAGTGGACAAAGTAATAGTAGAAAGATGAAAGTATCACATTTTCAAAGTGGGAAAATGACATAAATGGTTGCCTATGCGGTGGAATAAAATGATCCTGTCTTCTGAAAATCAAACAAAACTCATAAAATTAGTAGATTGATAAATATTGCTCCTATGGAACATGAAAAGATGTTCTAAAGCTTACATCTGAATTAGTTCTGCCAATTTTTTGCACTGCACATATCCTGCACAAAACAGTTCCAGATTTTCTTTTCTAGAAATTTTTGGAGGAAAATAAATGGTTCCAGGAGTGCAAAATATTACCCAGAATTTAAGAAAAAAGTCTTTACTTCTTTATGCTTTATGCTTTTTTTGTTATTTCCCTTTTTGCTGTTCTGATAATACCATTATCAACTACAATATGATTTCAGCCATTCCAGAAAGTGCAATACAAGATTATTGCATGATATTAAATATCTAATCAGCTTTGCTATTCAGTATTATTATTACTTAGAAAAGTGTTGGGAATACAATTCAACGCTGGCATGCACCCTGCCTCTCAAAATCCTTGCTTGGCCCAGCTGGGTCCTACCATGCAGGGGAATGTAACAAATAATTAATTGCTTGCTTCATTTCTATTCTAATTTTTCCTCTAGGAAAAGGGGAATATATTTGAAGGATTTTCTGCCTCATGAATTAGAATATCTTGAACGGTTTTAACCACAGTGAATTTAGTCTTAGACAGCAAAGTATTTTTGCCTGGCTGCTGCTGTATTCCCACTCTATCCATATGCAGACCTGCATATACCATCCAAAGCCAAGTCATAAGTGATTCAAACATACACAGCACCTTGAAGCAATGAAGCTCACTGTGCTTAGGTAGGTTGCAGGCCAATAATTCTTCATTTATCTTAGCAAACATTTTGCTTTCTCAAGGAGAGAAAGGAATATACATTTGAGGTTGTTGAGCCAGTCAAATTGTGGTTCCCCTTTTCTGTATTATAGCAATAACACTTAGACATATATATACCACCCATAGAGCTTTACAACACTCTCTGGGTGGTTTACAACATCAGCATATTGCCCCCAGCATATTGCCCCCTGGTTCCTTGACCTCAGAAGTATGGAAGGCTGAGTCAACCTTGAGCTCATTAGACTGTGGGCAGTATTAGCCTGCAATGCTGTATTATAACCACTGAATCATCAGAGCTTTGGTGATGTTCTACCATTCATTGTTGACTGTTATTTCATGAGGGGCCATCAAATAGACTCAGCAACATAGGACATTCTTCCTATCCACTTACATCGCTTCACATGTAAAAAGCATTGGAAAATAAAAACTCATATCACGCACACACTCCTTAACAAAACCACACAACAACTTCAACCCCATGTGTTCTGCCAGCAAACCCTCAAAATAAGTGTGCTGTTCTAGCACCAGAAAACAACATAAAATAGAATTGCCCCAACCAAATCTCTCATTTAAAAAATCCACCCCTAGGACAAGATGTACATTTCTAAAATCTTCATGACCCCAATGCCAGGGATGATCTTCCTCTCCAGACTTCACTGAACAGGAACACAGCTTAAATTTACAGATCTAAAATGTTTCAATTCAAAGGCCATTATTTCATGATCAAAGCCTATTATTACTATAGATACTTTTACTCTTAGCTTGCCAAACTTCAAATCCTACCTTTGATTGCTATACTTCATGGTATGTGGTTGAATAAACAACCCTCTTCAAGCAGCTGCCCAATGTGCTTATTTGTGACCAGCTCAGAATCAAATCAAGTAAATTTATTTTACTGAAGAATCAGCAATGTTTTAGACACACAGAATTTGTAAATTTCTTCTCCAATATTCAGATATTTTTGTCCTGACTGCCCTCTTCCCAATCGAAAAAGAGAAAAGGAAAACATCCTCCACATCAGCTTAGCTCATAATATTTTCCTGTCCATTTTGTAATATTGCCTTTTATTGCTATAGTATAATTCAGAAAATTTTGATATAGCAGTTTTAAAGATAAATCTCACCAATGACTTTGAAATAGTGTAAGATCAGCTCTAAAATTTTTGTATAATAGTTATAGAGCAGATCTTTAATGTAAACGTGAACTGCTATAGAAAACCTCTTTAAATTCCTCACTGATTCATAGGACTACTCTTCCAACTCTTATTCAATAGTATCACATTTGTTTAAAATTATTTTAAACATATAACCCATTATGATTGTGGATCAATTACTTCTAGCACACTTTTATAAATGCTAAATAAATGTAAAATGCTATATAAACATAGCATTAGATGTTTAGATAAAATTCCTTTCTCTAATAGCTTTGAATTTCTTTTTCTAGATGATACCAAGATAGCTCTACACCTAAAAGATAATGGAGGTAAGAGCTGCTATTTTTTTTGCATTCAGATTACATGAACAAATCATCTAAATGCCATTCCATAAAACCAAAATGGTCTAGTAATTTATCCACTTACCTATGCTACAATACTATGCAAGATATTCTGAGAGAATGCTTTGTATAGTCAGCTATCATAATTTGCCATACTCATTGTATCAATGAAACGAACCTCTTTGAATGTTATTTTTTTTAGAATATATATTCTATCTTCACCTAGGCAAATAAATGTAGATACAAATTTTCATATTCAAATCACAGCACTTATTCATTGAGTACAACAAAACAACAAGCGGAATCAACCCTGGCAATCAATGGCGTGACAGATGCCGCAGCCAGATCACCTTTACTATTAGACTATTAAGAAGATTTATCTCCAATTGCCAGGATAACTCTCTAACTTATTAGTAAATCTAAATAAAAAAATAATGATCTTTGGAAAACATCATCAGAGACACAAGTGGCAATTAGATGGTGAACCAATTAAAAAGGTTAACACCTTTATATATTTATACCTAACTTTTTATAAGACTGGGTCTTAGTTTTGGGTTCATGAATGGAGTACACTTAGAGCAAATGCTTTAATTTACTGCTTAAATTAAAGAATCATAGTTACCCAGGTCACTAGCCCCATTAATTAAAGTATATAAGGCTAAGCTCCCATGTTCTTGTATGGAACAGAAGTTTGGGGGGTCTATATTCTACTACAGTATTAGAACAAACATGGTCCCAGCACCTGAGATGTATTTTGGGTGTAGATCTAAGGACATTTGCTGCAGCACCTAGAGCCAAATTGGGAAGTTATATAATTCATGCACTGTCTAAAATCAGAGCATATAACTTACTGGCACAAAATCAACGAAATGGATAGACGGATAGACTCCCCAAGTTATGTTTATTAGAGCAGATAAAACCACAATTACAAACCTCTTGGATCACTAAACTGACAAATTTTGTAAGAAGCTCTGGTCTTCCTGTCTCTTGCGTAACAGGAAAACAATTCAAAAAAAGGGCTGCCCAAAGAATTAAGGATATAGAAGCACAAAATGATATACTGTAACTATCCTTACCAAGGTTGGTAACTTGAAATGGATGAGCAAATATAAACATACTTTTCAAATAGATAGCTATTTAAAGTTACAATTGCCAAAACTTCTTAGGGGGATATTTGCGCAAGTAAGATCTGAACAGCTTGAGATAATGGTCGGATATGGGAGATTCCATTATATACCCTATAATGGACATCTATGCATTTGTGGAGCGACAGATGTAGAAGACCTAGCTCACATCATTGTGTAAGAGGGTGAGAGACAGGTACCTTGGTCTATATACTAAATGAATGACCCATTGGGAACTCGATATCAAAACAACTTACCTTATGTGCAGCCAGCATTTGAAAACAACATTTAACATGGCACAGTACTTGAGCAAAATAATTCAGTTGAGATCGACATAGTATCTGGACTGATTGGGGTAGATTATAGGGATCATTCTGAAAGATTATTTTATTTTATTTTACTTATCCACCATGTTTTCCCCAAATTACGACATGTCCGGATAATAAGACCACGCCATATTTTTCCTGTGGGCAAAAATATACGCCCTCCCCCAATAATAAGCCCCTCCAGCCAAGCAGAGCGCCACTCACCTACCTAGCGATATCCTGAAGGCTCAAAGCCTCAGGAGCTGGGGGGAGGGGGGCAAAGGCACTCACATTGCTTGACGCCTTTGGGATACCGCTAGGTTGGTGGGTGGAGCTGTGCCCAACTGGAGTCGGGGGTTGCCGGGCAGCTGCTCTCACAAGCAGCCACCCAGCAATGCCCCTTTCCAGCCAGGCAGAGCACCACTCACCGACCCAGTAATATCCCAAAAGCGCTAAGTCACATGGCGCTCTGCCCAGCTGGAAAGAGATTGCATGAGCACTTGTTCTGCCTCCAGCTCATGTGCCTCCCTGCCTCACCATGCCCAACTCTCCCTGCAGGGCTGGGCCGGGGCGGCGGTGCTGCCACCACGCTGCCACCCCACTGCCGCCACCGCTGCCATGCTCTGAGCATAACTGGCTGCCAAACTCTGGAGCTCGGCTGCCAAGTCTTCCAGCAGCGGCCGCTCTCAGACTACGCTCTATGGTAGTGGGCTGGCTGCGGGAAGACTCTCTGTACTCTCTGTATCTCTTATTTTCAGGGTAAAATGTCTAGCCACTCAACAAAATAATTGCTGTGAGTCAATAACAAATTATCAAGATTTGCTGTCTGTGCTATTTTAGTGAATTCTGTAATCTTTGCATAATTGGTATTAGTCTGTAATGAACAAAGTAAATTTGGTTTGATTATATGTGGTTCGACAGTGTGAAGGGGTTTGAGTTGTATATGTTAGTGCAGACTTTTTAAAACTTTTTCTCTCATGACCCCTTTAGACTTTTTATTATGAAAAATCCCCTAAAAAGTTTTTGCTTGTTTGTGTTATATTTAATGAGGTAGTCCTCATTTATTTATCCTGTAGTGTTTCATTGTGGCATTATAAAAATGTAACAAATAAAATTTGATATTACTCTTGTTTTAGGGATTATACAAATCCAAATTAATCTTGGCCATCTGCTATTTGGCAGTAGTACTAAATAACTAAACTGCTTGCTAACTAACTGCTACCAAGTAACTAAACAATAAACAAATTTATCAGAACCATAGTTGGAAATTTTTGAGAGAGATATGTTTGCTGCAGGACAAAACTTCCTCAGATGTTTATATTTCTTTTTTCTTCATACACAGCATGGCACATACTATAAAACTTAGCAGAATTGTGGCTTTTAGCAATATTTTTATGTTATTTGGATTCTCTTCAGAATCTGAATATTGATAGATCATTTAATACCCATATGCTCACAATAAGACAGAAGTTTAAAAATGGTAATTTGTACATCTCAGATTTTATTGATGCTTCTCAGGAGCCATGAGATTTGATTATAACATTTAGCTTTTAAAGTAGTAATGCATGTCTGCAGGTAATTTTTAATTTGTTATAAGGAAACAAATTATGAAGATCAGGCATGATTTAATTTGAAGAGTACCTAAGTGGCATGGATAGAAGTGGACATTAATATTGTTTATTAATCTAGAAATAATAGGACATCTGGAATTTGTCTTTGCAGAAATATTATAATGAGTATTTAGCACAGAAAAAGGCATGACTCATTTTGTCAAGGCAACAGATTATTGTATATGAGGAAAATAAAAGAACTGAAATGAATTTGTGCCAAGCTTAATCCTTATTTTTCTTATAGCCTCTACAGATGACAGCACAGAAGAAAAGAAAAGTGCCTCTCTTCACACTGGCTTAATTGTTGGGATTTTCATTCTGGTTCTGATAGTAGCTGCAGCAATCCTTGTGATTGTTTATATGTATCACCATCCCACCTCTGCAGCCAGTCTCTTCTTCATTGAGGTAAATTGTGTTTTTCATAATTGATCTATAGCAGGGGTGGGTTCCGGCTTCTATCTCCGCCGGTTCTCTCAGGGGCGCACTTTGCGCACGGACACACTTGTTACGTGCTACTCGTGCATGCACAGTAGTAAAAAAAAATGCTTCTGTGCATGTGCAGAAGCAAAAAACAAGATGGCAGCACACATGGTGCTGCCGATTGAACTACTTTGGGAGCATGACCTGCCGAGTTACTACCTACTCAGTCGAACCGGTCCAAACCGATAAGAACCCACCTCTGGTCTACAGCCTACAGTATAGTGAAAAGCTAGCTTATATCATCTTCCCTGAAACAGTGCAATATTTTCAGACACCAATTAATATTAGCCTTTGTTTTTGCCTGGCATGTTGTTATTATTTGTGCTAAATTTACAGGTTGAGGTAATTTAGTTAAATGACGTGATAAGTAGCAGGGAGTGTATCTGGTAAAGCATGGAGCACTTCATCATGATTTCTTCCCCTCAGAACATTGTGTTATAAAGACAGCTTTTGAAAACAGTTGGTTTCTGTGCATGATTACTAAAAACAATCCCCCCCCCCCCCATCCACCTTTCATTCATCTTGGAAACAGTTTGCAATGAGTTCTGTGTGTGATGATGATCTTACTGAGAAACGTAAATTTAGTACATTTATTTAGTTGTCCTATTTGTACCATACTGCAGCCATATAGAAATAATCTATATGACTCTGAAGTGAAACTTCCGATTTCATGATATGTTCAGCTGGACTCTCCTAATTCCAATTCACAAGGCTGTTGGGGAATTATAACGTTGCTCTTCAGAATAACTGGTAGTGCCTATGAGAGACAAATGTTCTAAGTGCATTTTACTTCTAAGGTCAATACTGAAAAAGCAAGGAACAGAATACCTTTAGGAATAATATTTTGGCATTAGGACATTTGATTAGAGTAGAAAATATGATGTAGGTAACTGCCAGAAAATGGACAGGTGGCTCACTGGCTAAAATGCTGAGATTGTCGATCAAAAGGTTGTCAGTTCGAATCCTAGCACCACATAACAGAGTGAGCTCTGATTACTTGTCCCAGCTTCTGCCAACCTAGCAGTTCGAAAGCACATAAAAATACAAGTAGAAAAATAGGGACCTCATTTGGTGGGAAAGTAAGTGTTCCGTTAGCCTTCGGTGTTTAGTCATGCCTGCCACATGATCACGGAGATGTCTTCAGACAGTGCTGGCTCTTTGGCTTTGAAATGGAGATGAGCACCACCCTCTAGAATTCAGAACAATTAGCACATATGTGTGAGGGGAACCTTTACCTTTACTTAGCTGTAAGATGAAAAGAGCAATTGACAAGTTGATAATGTGAGATAAGTTACTTGGTCCCATCAACAGAAGGAAGACATTTTTAAAATTGAACAAACAAAAAATAGCAGCATCCTTTCAGTGGCTTCCCTCCTCCTCAAATTATTTATCGAATTATTTCTCTTTTCCCTCTTGGAAAAACTTGTTTCTTTAGCAATACAATCTTTATATCAGGATCCCAATTCAGCCTTTCTTTTTTAAGGATACAGTTTGCTGATGTATTTGAAAAATGGAAAGAATTTCCCTCCCTAATATATATATATTCTTTCCACTGGTATATAGAACTACTAATATTCTATTGCCTTTAAAAGTGATTTGGTTGAAATATTTCTATAGATATTTTCTTTTTTTCTGTAATATATACAGTACACATATACTCAACTTACAACCATTCATTTAGCAACACTTTCAAAGTTACGGCGGCAATGGAATACACACACACACCTCAGTCCTCACATTTATAACTTTTACAGCATCCCTGCAGTCAAATTTGGGCAATAGCAAACAACATATAATTATGATGATTTCAGCATCCTGGAGCCATGTGATCATCATTTGTGACTTTCCCAGAAGGTTCTGACAAGCAAAATTAGTGGGAAGTCAGATTCATTTAATGACCACATGATTTATTTAACAACTTCAATGATACACTTCATTTCATTTCATTTATTGAATTTATAGGCCGCCCAAACCCGGAGGACTCCGGGGGGCTTACAGAAATGAAAAATATTAAAAAAGGATTAAAACAATAAGATACAACAAGATTAAGAAGAAACATAACATGCACCCAGTCAAAGGGGGGGCTGGACCTCAATCAAGAGGTCAACAGCCCCAGGCCTGCCGGAAAAGCCAGGTTTTAATAGCTTTACGGAAGGCCATGAGAGTGGGTAGGGTCCGGATCTCTGGGGGTAGCTCATTCCATAGGGCCAGAGCGGCAACAGAGAAGACCCTACTCTGAGGTGTCGCCAGCTGGCATTGTCCAGCTGAAAGCACCCGGAGAAGGCCCATCCTGTGCGATCTTATTGGTCTTAGGGAGGTATGCGGCAGAAGACGGTCCCATAGGTATCCGGTCCTAGGCCATGTAGGGCTTTAAAGGTGATAACCAGAATCATGTTCGGAGACCAATAGGAAGCCAGTGCAGCTCGCGGATAGGTGTAGTATGGGTGTACCTTGGTACACCCAATATCGCTCACGTAGCTGCATTCTGGACTACTTGTAGTCTCCAAACACTTTTCAAGGGCAGTCCCAAGTAGAGCGCTTAACCATGGCCAAAAAAAACCAGTGTTGTTAAAATTAGGCGGTAGTCATTTAACAACTGCCTTGCTTAGCAACAAAATGCTGGTCTCACTTGTAGCTGTAAGTTGAAGACCACCTATATAGGAGTAAGTGTGGCAATTATTCAGAAAAATTCCAGAACTGTGAATTATTTGCACAATGTCTTTTCTTCTAGCGTCGCCCAAGCAGATGGCCTGCAATGAAATTTCGGAGAGGATCTGGACACCCCTCATATGCTGAAGTGGAACCAGTTGGTGAGAAGGAAGGCTTCATTGTATCAGAGCAATGCTAGGATTATTCTGTGACAAATCACCAGTACTGGCCTACTGGTGTGAGAAGTTTATTCTGCCTCACATTTTTAAAAAAGAAACTTGAAGCTGCTGTAACCTGAGGAAAATAGCTTGGATTTCTGGAGAAACCATAAAGGGGAGTGGGTGATGACCCTTTACAGAGTGTTTTGTTTCAGAGCCATCTGGCATACAATATTTCAGAAACATGTCTCTGAAACACCTACAATCTGAAAATAAAGAATACATTTGCCATGTTTTTTTTTATTTTGCGAAAAAATATAGAATAATCCAGAAAATGTACCAACAGCTTTAATTCAAAAGAGTGTTTCCCCACAGTATTTGATGCAGTAAAGTAGTTTGGTTTTTAACTTATAAGGATTTTTTTTTCATGCCTCAAGGCAATCCTATAACGGATTAATCTGTTAGTGAGATCAACCTGATGCAAATAAGATAGGTTAGTCACTACATGTATTTCCATGAGTACTATCACTTTGATTTTTCTAATACGTAGCTATCAAATATAATCAGAAAAAGTGCTTCTTGTATTCTGTTGGCCTTTAAATTGTAATTGGTTAATCGCGACTATAGTTCTATAGTTGACAAAGCGTTAGAGAGATTTTTAAGCTTTAGGAAAACAGAAAAGGAGCAAGAATGTTTTTCACTGTGATGAAATTAGTCTCTCCAAGGGGAACATATAGTGAAATTGTACTAACATTCAATTTAAATATTCACAAGAGGGAAACTGGGGTGCATGGGTATGCATCACTTACCGGTAGTTAGAAATAAATCCCGTTGAGCTCACTGAGACTTATTACTGAATAATTGCATACAGGGCATTTAGGAAAAGAGGTTTTTAAAAAGTCCAGATGATGGCTACACCATAGGCACAGTGCTTGTAAAAGGATGTGGGGTTTCAATCACATAATTGCAGTTACTCTCTTATATTTTGAGAATATTCTTGCAGATGAATCTGGCACAGAGGATTGGACTGCTATCTTTGGGGCATTATTTATACCCCAGAAAGGTGGTCTCAAATAGATGAAGTCACTATTTAATTGATATTGGAAAAAGAACAGCCTTGGAACGNCCGTATATCCACATATTTTCACAGTTCTCCAAGAGCAGTATTTTTGCACCAGTGCCCTTCTGCCCTAGAAAAAACATGAAACATATTTCAGTTCATATAACACAAGGCAGGCTCTTGTGGCTGTTGATAGTGCATTGTTTTTGTCATCCTGATGATGGAAATAGATGGCATTGCTGCATATTTCCACTGAGTTGTAAAATAGTCCTTAGTATTAAAATAAATGTTTATGTTGCATAAGAGAAAGTGGTTCATTTAATTGCAGTGTCCTAATTTTGACTGCTTTTCAGAGCCACATTTTCTTTAAGCAACAAAATAAAACCTTTCCTACTCTCAGTGGGAAAATATTTTTTACAAAGTCCCAATGAAATAATTCTTCAAATAGAAAATAGAAATGTACCCTGAGATCTTAAAAATTATTAAGATTGTTTTTACATTTTGCACGGATAAAATTCACTATTTGCATTTTTTACACACATAGAAACAGTATTTGGTTCATGGTAGGGTATTATCTGCAGCTTCAGGTTTCAAATTGTTCAGTCACTTTTCTTGGATAGCATCTTTATAATACAATCGTTTACATTTCATATCAGTACATCTATGGTTCTTGTTTTTTTTTAAAAAAAAACAACAGACTATAACACCATGATTTTTACTTGTTATTTCGTTCAGTAAAAAATACGATTATGTATTTTCCTGTATTCATTCTTTATTCTGTTTAAACTGGTTTACTATGTATTTAGAATGTGCAAAACCCACCACTTGGGGAATGGAACGCCAGAATAGCATCTCCAAAACAACATAAGTGGCTTTTGTTTTCAAGGCAGAGCCATTCTCAGAATACCGCAAACCACTTCTGTATTCAGATTAATTTTCAGAAATGTCTAGACTATCCCTGGAACAAGGGTTTGGCACATCATTGCTATGTAGTCACAGTTCATCAAGAGCATTGACTTGTGGCTGCTAAAAATCCAGGGAGTTGTAGTCCAGAACACCTGGAGGGCACCCAATTGGAGCAAGGTGATCAAGAATATATTTTTAAATTTTATAAAAAAGAATTTATAAATATTATTATTGTAAGTATTATTATAGAAAGCCAGTTTGGAGTAATGGTTAAGACATTGGTTTAGTAACCAGAACGCTGTGAATTCTAGTCCCAGTTTAAGCATGAAAGCTGACTGTATGACTTTGAGTCAGTCACTGATCTCAACCTAATCCATCTCACAGGGTTGTTATTATGGGGAAAATAGGAGGCAGGAGTATTAGGTATGTTCACTGCATATTTTAAAAAATGGAAATAAAAACTGAATAATAAAAATTTAGAAATAAACCATACTGGCTTCGTTGTGAAAATGTTAAAGCTCATTTCATTATTTTTGTCTCTCTAAAAAATTTTTTCCCTTTACTGACCACAAAATCTTACATGAGGAGACTTCTTGTTCACTTGAGAAAGGCTCCCTATTAGTAATTGTACTATATTGTCTAGGTATAAGAAAGAAAGGGCAATGTTTCTTCAAGTTTAGGATTAACTAGATCAATATTGCTCAACATGGTGCCCTCCAGCTCTTTTGGGACTACAACTTCATTATTTTAGCTTTGAGTATGTCATCGTTCACAGATTAAAAGCATGTGCATTTAAGTCAGCATTGGCTAATGTATGATCTTCAAAACACTTGGCTGGAACCTCTATCATCTTACACCATTGGCCATGCTGGTTGATGTAAGTGGAAGTTCTTTAGCAAAACTGGCATCCTTCATCTAAGTGGAGATAAGCTCTATAAAGTTCCCGTTGGGTCTCATATAACATAATGGTAAGTATTTTGGGTATTTTGACATCATGACTGATAATATCAATTTTCTTGATATGTTATTCTACTATACTGCTATGATGCAGCAAAATATGCATTTTGGAATTAGTATGCTCTTTCCATGAATCCTCATTCAGAATGGTTTCAGAAATTATTATACAGAAATCCGTACAGTGTGTGTGTGTGTGTGTGTGTGTGTGTGTGTACACAGAAAGATACAAATTTCATATACAGGGAGCAAGTGCAAGGCTGTAGTCAAGATAGTGGCAATGATAGTAGGATTAAAGTTCCACCCATTTTTATTTGACATAAAATAAAAATTTTATGGAACATAAAAAATGGCAGAACCTCCATTATACTATCGTTATCACTTTTTTTTTTAAATCACATCGTGTGGATGCTCCTGAATAGGTAGGTGCATTCTTTTTGAAAATGAATGAAAGACTGGAAAGCTACTTATTTTTTATAATCTAATTGAACAGCAAACTGTACAAAGGAAATTCCACAAACTAGCAAAAGAGCATTTCTCTCTGTATTTCTGTCTGTATGTGTGTGTCTCTCTCTTTCTCTTCATTACCATGCAGTTTTGCAATTTTGATTGATTGAGTCATGGTTTTGCAGTGGTCATCAAGCCTACAACTCTGCACAGTTCACTGGAGAAGAAGGAGAAGAAGAAGAAGAAGAAGCAAAATGAATAGGTTGAAACATCACTGTAGCTTCACAGAATTTTGACAAAAACTCTGACTCAAAGGGACCAAAAAAGGGAGGGGTGAAAATAAAGTTTATCTCTCTGTGGCAGGAAAAACTGTGACTAGATAAGTGTGTGCCTATTCAATATCCTGTTCAAATTATACTTGTTGGTAGGCAACTTCAAAAGCCTTGCTTTTCTTCCCAATATTTTTCCTAATTTAGTGAAAGAAAGCTGCAAAAGATTATGATGTATTTTCCATTTCATACTGTATAGTGTGTCTGCCAAGTTTAGTGGAAAAGTTCTAATTTTAGGAATAGTATAATATTTAATTTAATTAACAAATGGCATACCATCCTTCAGGATAAAAATTGGCCATATACTTTATTATATTCTAAGAGACTCAGGAAAATTTCTTATGATGTGCAGTTTAAACAAAAGATTTGCAAACATATAGCCAATTTTGTACACTTGGTGTGATTTTAAGATGAAATGTCACCTGACCAAGAAAAAGATAATCCAACCCAACTCCTCCTAATCTAGATTTCTCTAGAAGTTTGTAGTTCATGGCCATTGATTGACAGTTGTAGAATGCACAACTGAAGTTGGGGAAGTCTGGTTCAAGCAAAGCCTAAACGGTAATAAGAATGGCTTTAAAAAGGAGATAGGAACGTGGTTAGGTAAAGTCAATAAAGGGAAAGTTGAATAACAAGTCCTCCAGTTATTTTCCATTTCTTGAAATGAACTTTTAAAGACTGACTTCTCAAAGCCTGCCCAAGGTTCAACTAAGGGGAAAAACTGAAGTGGGGGGGGGGAGATCAAAAAGTAAAAGGACAAAGATACAGAAACAGAAGCAATTTAAAAAGCAGCTACATGAGCCTAGAAATAGATGCAGCTACTTTAATGGTTCAAAGAAAGTGACTTTATAAATATTCCCTCATGTTTCAAAGTATGTCTTTTTGCAGGATTTTCACAGATATGTTAGATGATGACTCATCTGTTGGTTCAATCTCAGGAAAGAAGCGCTTTACATTCTGAGGAAAATGTTTGATAAGATCTCCCTTAAAGATCTGATGCCACCTCAGGTCTCCAAGACAATAGTAACTTACTGCTTGTAATCTCACTCAAAGGAGAAGCTTTTTGGCTGAAATGTTTGCTTTCTGAGGTTTTCCATTATCAGAAGGGTTACTGTTGAATGTGAAAAACATAGCTTTTATATCTGAAAATCTTTTATTACTGTAACCAGTTCAGAACAACAAACACATAATGGAAAATTTCTATAATAATCACAAAGATGTAACAAATTTAAAAGAAAATTGTTTCAAATGAAACATTTATAAACTATTGACTTGCTCTTATTCAGAAGCACAAATGAATGTGCCGGTGTTTCATCTATAGTTTCTAGATGTGACATTTGTAACATTTAAATTTCATATCATTCCAGAGACTTGTTCCTGCCAACTCAGAGCAATGATCATCTCTCCTAGCACATTATTTTTACAATTCTGTGGCTTTAAGGACCTTTAGTAATTAGAAATAGATTAAAATTTTGGGCAGAAGCCATCAGAAATTCTGCTTTCATTTTCCCCAACAGTTTCATTTCTTTGGAAATACAAGGCAATATATCTTGTCCCTTTCTGATTTATCTTAAAAATCAAATCTAGGTCAAATTATAATTATATGAGTCACTGCCCCAAATTGCTTTTAAGTTATTTGCGGCAGGAAGTTATTTCAAAACTGAAATATTTTGAAACTTGAATATTGGTGAAAAACAAAAAAAATATGAGATTAATTGGATTTTGGGCTATCTCCAGAACATGTATTCATGTTTATCACAACTTTCCTTCAGAAATAAAAGACAGATCAACTCTCATTTCAACCCTGAGCTACAAATATTCTCCTTTATTGGTACTTCAGATTAACTCTCTTTTCTTTCCAGTTGATATGAGAGATCCTGTCCTATTGAAAGCAGCTAACACCTGAGAATTGGGCCAATATATTAATCATTTATGTTCATACTGTTTAACCAATAGACATATTCCTATGAATCCTTTGATTCCAAATCTGAAATCTTGAGAAATAAATTTATTGCAGAGTGTACTTGGATATAATCCACATTCTACTTTACTACACTGCTTGCTAAATTCTGTTTCTTCCTGTGAAGCAAAAATTGTAATGAAATTACATCTGGTAGTCTTGTAACTCTGATTATTTTTGTTATAATTAAAACAGCTGGTCAAAAATAAAGAACCCTTTCATGCACCATTGTATACGTTCATACTGTAGACCCCCCAAACAAAATTAAAATATATTTTTATAAACATTAAATGGCCAGAATCTCATATCTCTTGAAATTGCTTGTGGAAACAATTCTCTTTTGGAAATTTTGGCCAATTATTTTTATTAAGGTTGGATGCTCAGTCAACTTGATGTTTAGATTCTGAGAATTCAATTCTGAGCGGCTCAATGTTGATTCAACCTTACATCCTTTCAAGGTTGATAAAATGAGGACCCAAGTTGGGGGGGGGGGCAATATGCTGACAGTAGACAATTTAGAGAGGACTGTAAAGCACTGAAGCAATATATAAGTCTAAGTGATATTGCTATTGCTATTGAAACATCCACTGTCCAGATTCTTTGTCTTTCTTATCATCAATTATTAAGACAATTCTAAAGTCCCAGAGCACTTTGGTTTCTTCATTTTCTATTATTTTGTTTATGGTGAGGTCTCACCAGTTCCTGCTTGCAGACAAATGGTATTTTTGCAAATATTCCAATGCACCATTGTTGCTACTTTGTCATGCTATTGTTTGTAGTCAATTTATGCAGTCTTTTTTTTTGCAGCAGCAGCAGCAGCATCTACTTAGATGATCCACTGTTTCTTCAGCTTCTTTAAAAAGGCGGCATTTGCTGTCTATTGTTGTCTTAGTACCGTGATGGCGAACCTATGACATGTGTGCCCAAAGTGGCACGAGAAGCCATGTCGCCTGGCACACGGGGCTTTGCCTGTTTGTCTTCCGGGTTTCTGGCGCGTATGCATACGTGATGATCAGCTATTCTTCATGTTCATGGTAGTGCCAAAAACTGCCCTGTGCATGCGCACCAGCCAACTGATCGTCAGATGCGCATGCGAGCTAGAACCTGGAAGTTAGGCTTTTCCAGAGCACAGCCCTGACAAGCAGGTGCGCATGCGACATTTCCATGTGACCTTTTCGGCAGTCGGTGACAAAAAGGTTCGCCATCACTGTCTTAGTAGTACTTTTGTATGCATTTGTTCTTAAGGCTTCGTCTTGTGCATATTTGGATAATCAAATACCTAGAAATAACTGCAGTCAGTAGAAACATCAGAACCTTTGTGCAAAGATGAGTGGTACAATAGGACACAGTTGCTGATCAGTGGTTATAGTATGAGAGAGCTAATATCAAGGAAATTCACTGTCGTTACTACTGTTTTTCATTGCATTGATTATATTTAATTTTAGAGTTAAGTACCAGCTAATCATATTATGATCCAGTACGTTGAAAACCTATCAATTAAAAAGTAGATTCTTACGTAAGGTTCTTAGTTCTGAAAGTCCTAAGTAAAGAGTGGTGTTGGCTAACAATTTGCAATATCAATTTTGATTTGCTTTCCCACTTTTAAGACATTAAAGAGATCCACACAGCTTGCTTTAGGAACAGTTTTCACAGTAATGATTATATTAATAATTTGTGCACAATCTCAGCTGTTCTAATCAATACAAGTAATTTCATTCAAGAATTTGTGAAACTTCAATAACATTAGACATTTGCCAAACTGATAAAATACCTCTTATCTTTTGCCATGAACAGTACAAATAACACGAAAAACTATGTCAATATCTTCTCTGCCTGCACCATAGTCACAGTAAAAGCATCAAATTTCTATTGAGAATGCCTAGGAACCATCTGCTTCCTACAAAAAGATGTACACAAAAATAATTAAAAATTACTTGAATTAATAATTATGTACTACATACTTATTACATATAAATTATTATAATGTATGTTTCTCCGTGTATTTGGATTAGATCAGATTGGAAGAAGTAAGAACATTTAAATCCAGGGGGGGGGGAGATTTCATTGGGCCTATAAACAACTATCTAAATAATGTCAATAGATGGATGGTTTTTCATTTGCAATAAAGTTACAAATTTTACCAAACAAAATCCAAAGAACGTGTCATGCAATCTGCCCCTCCAATTTCAAAAGTGGGACAATTCATTAGTGTTATCAACTCAGGCAGGTTGTCACCTTTTCAATGTTAACTGCTCCATTATTGTTGCATTTATTGTTGTTATTTAAAATTATACCACATCTGGTGGATGATCAATGTGATAAAATACTCTAAAGAAGGCAAATCAGTGAATAGATTAAAACTGTAATCCCCAGCCTTTGGAAACAGGTGTGCACATTTTGACACAAATTAGTCCAGATTGCTTAGCCACAAGATCTGTCATTCAAAATCTCCCCCAAGATGGATATTATAAATTGCATTTCTAAGTAGTTGGTAAGAATGATATCAATTTACATCTGACTAAAGCAATGTCTTAAAATGGTTTGTGGCCAAAAATTTCAAAGGAAAACAATTAGTGGATCACTATGGAAATAAAGCAAGCTAGAGGAATCTGTAGTTCAATGGAACTGAATTGCTTAATTTGTGGGTTTTTTTCTTTTTAAAAATGGATGACTTCTGCCTGTGAGATTTGATGCCATGACAATTAGAATTAGGTACTGGCCACTCAATCAAATAGGTAAAACAAGAGAACAATCCATTATTTAGATGTTTGCTTAATGACTTGAGATGACAATTTTGAAAATACCTTTTGAGTCAGCTCTCTTTCCAAAGTGACTCTGGGCAGCTTACAATACAATAAAATATAAAAAACATTTCAGATTTAACAAGAATTAGAGAAAGCAAAAAAAAAACTTTTTAAGGCAAAAATGGATAAAGAGAACAATTGGAATAAACTGGAATTAGGATGTCCTTGTTCTGAGTAAGAATTGAAAACTTGTAAAATACTACAATTTCTCTTCAGTCGTTTTCTTTTCAGAGATAAAGGTAAAATTTATCCAGTTTTATAGTAACAATATAACATCTGTTACATACACAAATAAATACTTCCATATTTGCATTTCCTTGTTACCATTCTGTAGGCAGGCTGAAGCATTTACTTGAAAATAGATGTATGGTGATTCATCCATCTAATTTGCAGTTTATACTTCTGGAAGTTGGAAAGTGAGCCATGATGCCAAAGAATTTTTAAAAGCTCCCTAACATATATCTAGAAGAAAACCTAGACAAAGATTGTTACCTAGTTAGGGTAATGAAACATCTGCAAGAAAACAAGCTCAGAGAGCATCAAGGAACCCTCAAAGAGAGAGTGGTTATCAAAAATATCAGCTCAAATAACAATATCAGTCTGTCATTATGGGCACATGTTGGGGAAGTAGTTTTTGCTCTCCAGTGTTGTGAACTTTAAAAACTAATAAGTTGTAATAATTATAAGCTGTCTAGAGACACCTCTGGTAAATTGGGAAGTATATAAGATAATGAATGAATGAATGAATGAATGAATGAATGAATGAATGAATGAATGAATGAATGAATGAATGAATGAATTCCCTCTAATAGGAAATATAGATAATAAAACAATAGAACCAAAATTAATATGAAGAAACAAGAGACAGGTATCTTAGTCTCCATGACTAAGTACAAAATACAATTACAAAAATTTAGAAGGGAAGCATTCAATGAAACTATGTTATTTTTATTGCATAAAGGCTGTTCATATTGAATAGAAAAAAAGAAAACCAAATAAGAAATGGGCAAAGAAGATAAAATCCCGAATAATTTGCTACCTCTGCTGGGAGATGGGAAAACATTTTTTTTCTTAACCCTTTTTCTTAATTTTCTTAAAAGAAAAAACCCTTTGCTTTTATTTATTTTATTTTATATTACTCGCTCTATTGGTTGTCATTTATTACAAACCAATGAGCTAAATATTAAATGCATTAAATAAAATGTGAAAATTATAAAATGGCTGTGTTCTTTTCTTCTTGAACTTGAAGGGTCTTCAAAGGCCAAGGAAGTAGAAAACTTAAGAAATAAAATTTACATATTAGATTTAAACCATGTTGGTGTTTTGAATAAAGGTATTCAGTTCCATTTGATTTAAAAGAACAAGCCAAATCTGAGTTATGATTATTATCTCCAAAGGACTGAGAAAAGTAACTACAGTAATAAAAAGAAAATGTGTCTTAAACAAAATTCAGATACATACCTAAGAGTTTCCAAAGTATTTTTGAATAGTTCAAATTGGAAGTAGAGGAAAAGAATGTATTTATTCCAATAGTAATGATTGGTGTAACTTCTAATTTTGGAGTACATACAGGGTGAGTTTATTCTCATTGGTCAAATTATACTTTATAAGAGAAACCTTTATGTTTGTGGGCAAGTTGCATTTTTATTGTACTATCTAACAAAGAGGCAGAATAAATAAAAATAAAGCTCCTTAAACATGCATATAGAGACTGACAATTAGCTTACAATAGCCATTATCCAGTGGTGCAATTCAGCCGGTTCTATCCGGTTTGGCAAACCAGTAGTGGTGGCAGTGGCCACCCACCTGGACGTTATCACATCCCATTTTTGACACTCTGCGCATGCGTAGAAGGTCCTTCGCATGCACGGTGGTGGTGAAGCAAGCAAGCGCACTCACATTTGTGAACCAATAGTGAAGGTAAGTTGATTTCACCCCTGTCATTATCTTATACAACTTAAAAACAAAGGTTTTGAATGCCTGTTCACTTCTTTGGGGGGAAAGTACATTATTTATGGGAATAAAAGATTTCTTAGGATGAAGTATTCTGCTGTACAACCACTCATTCATGTCTGTGGCTGGAAAGCAAAGGAGGGTGCAGTTGTGCTGGTTAGAGGATGGCTGTTGCAATACCATCCCTGAATCTAGGTAAGCACAAGACACAAAGGGACCAAATGTAATGGTCTGTGAAAATATCTTTGAGTGGGAAAAGCAGCCATAGATTAGGCAATGGTAGATAAGAGGCATCTTAGCCTATAGAAGCAAGAAGAGTATAGCAGATATCTCAGAAAGAATTCTCCCTAGTATCTTGGGCCCTAGAAGCGGGTGAGGGGGTGTCTTTCAGGCTTGCAAGACTGATATCAATCATTTGATAGAATCCAGACAATCCATGAGTAATAATGCTACTTCATTATAAATTTAT